ATCAAACAGCCAAAAAAGTGAAAAATGGAAAATATTTTCCTACTTCCTCGAAAAATGTGGCCTATCAAACACGGCCTAAGTGATTATTCACTCACACTCTAAGTGATTTTAGGGTCGAATTTATAACTTTCAATTTTAAAATAAATTGCATTAAATGAGTCTCACGATCACAAAATATATGCTTATTGTTTAGAAGGGAGATATAATTTGCAATTAGTTTGTTGTACATATTGTGGATGAGCAACTACATTGTCTCGGTGTTTGAAATAGTTTACGATTGTCTTAGAATATTATACTCAAAGACGAATCCATGATCGGATTATAAGTCGGGCTAATATATAGAAAAAATAAATTTACGCATAAAAAAAAAATTTCACAAGTTTTTTTTTTACACTAAAAAAATTAACAGGTCAGGGACTGGATCGGGCTACAACCCTAAATCCGTCCCTGATTATATTATATTACTATTATTAATAATGTTGTTAGGAAAATTTGCATCTTCATAGATAATCTTTGCAAAATGTAACAAATTTATCAACAACATGTTTTAACATAATTTATCCCTAACAAAGGCATTGTATAATAATATTCGCCATTTCCTCCATTTTGACTTGAATGACGTATTTGCCGCTTTCTTTAAAAAATAAACATAAAAGAAAGTGGTCAAATTACAAGAAATAAGGAAAAATTGCATATGGAGTTCCATTACTTTTCAAAAGTACAAATAAATCACACTAAAACAACGAAATACATATTAACAAAAATAAAAAAAAATAGAAAAATTTCATCATCCCAAACAAGTTCACCCACCCACCCCACCCCCACCAGACCAGACCAGCCTAATCCACATCTACCCAAAGATAAATATCATATCCACAAATGCAATCACCGTCACTAGTGATTTTGCGATCTAGTCAGCTGATTTTATTCTAGTCATTTTTTATTATTTTTGAATTATTTTTTCTAAGGTGGTGGTTGTCATGTCGCCACCGACGGGATTGGATTTGTAGAGACTAACCCTCAAATTTGGTTTTAATAACGCAAGCGAATCTGACTTATGGTTGCAAGAATTATATACTTCTTGTACACTTGTAATTGACATAATCTTTGATATTCCCTGTAGAAAATCTGGTCATTGATTGGAGAAAATATTGTTATAATAAATGCAAAAAAAATTGCCAACTCACAAGATGTAAAACATGATGTACATATGGCATTATTGTAATTGCAAAATCTTTAGACAACATCCTCTTGAGATTATTAATTTCTTGAAGATCACCACTTTCAATGAGCATGTCATTTATATATAGAAACAAAACAATATGAATAAATAGTTATAAATGTGTTAAGTAATAGGTTTAATGAAATGTGGAATTAAATAACTCATTTAATTGTACTTATTATTTAATGTCATATTAACGCCACATAGACTGAAATTATAACCTCAGTGGAATTAAACAACATTATTCAAACAATATAAGAGTCGTCAAATTTCTTGACGTATCAACAAAGATCTGCCTGGCACATAGGCCCCAATTTTCTTTCTTTTGCTCTATTCATCTCCAAATCATTTATTTTTTTACCTTAAAAAAATAAATATACACTCGAAATAAGTAAAAATCTGCCCTAATAATCAATAATATGTAAATTTGAAAGTGCTTGGTTCTCAAACAAATTTCTCTGATCTTAGCTAAATAGGCCAAGATTTAGTCGAGGGCTAGC